GTCGCTTAACCGACTGAGCCACCCAGGCGCCCTTGAAGGGTCTTTTCAAAGAGCATAAGCATGAGGGAATTGCTTGAAAGGACATTAAATTATTTGAAGGGTACGTAGTGGTATTTCCTTCTGCATCTAATATTTGTTCTTCCAATACTGGCTGTTGATAGCCAGGATGAGAATTTGGTGATGATAAAGTTACCTTCAAATTCAGCTCCATATAATTCTCAGTGATTTCTGGAGAACTGATGAGGGAATAATCCAGCAGAATATAGTTGTCAATCTTGGTTAAAACTAAATAACAAACAAATAAAAATGAAAATCTGTATTTATTAAAGGCATAGTATAGCATCTGACTATTATCTATGCAGAGCAATATAATTTAATTCTCTGTTATTTAAAATAACAATTACTCTTATTTTATAAATAACACACTTTTCAAAACCCAGGATAAGTAGGTAAGTCAAAAGAAGAAATTAAAAACCCTTCTTAATCACATTACACTGAGGGAAACATCAATAACATTTTGTTGTATAGCCTTTTATGTATAGACAAACACACACACAAACACAATTCATATCTACTTTTTTAAAAAGAAAATTAGACAAACAAAACTCATGTATTAATATTAAACCACATATATTAATATTAAACCACATATAAACCACATATATATTAGGTTGGTGTAACGAGACACTTTCAAGCTCTATGTTATGGCCTTCTATATAGTTAGAGCTTTAATTTTTTACAGTGAGTATGTATTACTGTTATAATTAGAAATAATTTTTATTTTTTATTTATTTTTAAAGATTTTATTTATTTATTTGACAGAGAGAGACACAGAGAGAGAGGGAACACAAGCAGGGGGAGTGGGAGAGGGAGAAGCAGGCTTCCCGCCGAGCAAGGAGCCCGACATGGGCTCGATCCCAGGACCCTGAGATCATGACCTGAGCCATAGGCAGGTGCTTAATGACTGAGCCACCCAGGCACCCCAGAAATAATTTTTAAAAAGAAATGTTGAGAGAGACAGACAGGAATAAAATTCCCTAAGTTAAACAGGCCAAGAAAATTCTCATGCACAGTCTATTAATTCAATTCTGTTTTGGTATTATCATTTTCAGAGCACAGCAGGAGGCCAGGGGGCCGGGGGACAGTAGACGGGGTTGGCAGGAAGCATGATTTCAGAGTCTGAGGCAGGTTGTACGTGCAGGGGTGCAGTGCTCAGGAGTCCGACCCGGCCTGGGAGAGCTGCCTTCTCGGCCAGCGCCATGTGTTCTGTGATATGAGGACCTCCCCGCTGTTCCAGAGCAAAGCATCTGAGTAGCACACCTTCTCCTCTTGCACGCCATGCTTGGTTTATTCCACAGACGGTGATAAGGAACAAGAAGAGATGAAGGGGCTTGCCCAGGTGAGGGAACAATACTGCCCCATGTCACTATAGTTTTTAAAATGCTTTCAAATTCACAGTTTGAACAGATCCCATCACCATACTGTGAGGGGAGCAGGACCGCGCCCGTTTTACAGGTGAGCGAGGGAGGCTCCCACAGGTGGAGAAACTTGCCCATGGCAACCTAGAACTCAGGACTCCCTGACCAGTTCTTTCCTTACTACATCTTTCTCTTTCCCTACCTCCCCAATCTGTTCTTTTTTCATCTATCCACACCCAGCCCAATCCACTTGTCCAAGCACTGTGCAACCGTTCATCGACCCAAAATTCATTCACCTAGTGTGGGTTAGGCACTGTGCCTGGTGCTGGGGACATGGTCAAAGGCCCTGTGCTTGTGGGACTCATAGCCTGAGGAAGAGTCAGACATATGAACAGGAAATTATAATACAGTGTAATAAGAGTAGGTCTAAAACTGAGCTCCTGATGGTCCTTCTACAGTCTTACAGTCTTCCTCATCTTGGTAAATGGTAACTCCATTCTTCCAATTTTCTAGTTGCTCGGGTGAAAACCTGGAGTCATCCTAGATTTCCCTCATGACCCACATTCAGTGTGTCAGCAAATAACACTGTCTCTCCCTTCAAGGTCCATCCAGAACCTGAGCATGTCTTGCCATCTCCATCACTCCATCCAGGCCAACTGCCATCACTGCTCGCACAGGTCATTGCAGTAGCCTCTTATGTGGTCTCCCTGCTTCTACCCTTGCCCCCTTTCTGTCTATTGTTAACGGATGGAAGCCAGACTGATCTCCTTACAACATAAGTCAGATCATGCAAGCCTTGCTCAGAACTCTCTGAAGACTTCTCTTCTCAGACTAAGAGCCAGCCTTCGTACTGATCTGCAGAGCCCTGAAGATCTGACTGTTGCTTTCCTCCTCCCTGACCTCATCTCCGGCTGCCTTCCCCCTCACACCCTCTGCTCCCAGGATGCCCTCCTCATAGTCCCTCCAATATACTTGGCATGTTCCCACATGGGCCTCTGAGCTTGTGGTTTCCTGTACCTGGAGTGTTCTTCGTCCAGATCTAGGAGTGCCCCTCACCCTATTCCATTCAAGTTCATACTGGAATGTCACCTGCTCAGTGGTGCCTTTCCTGGCCATCCTATTAACAGAAACACCTCCCCAGCTTCTTCTCTACTTTATCTTTCTTCTTACCACTTATCACATCAGTATCATAGATTTTACTTATTATCTTGCTTGCTGTCTGTCTCCTCTGACTAGTCCCATGAGGGCAGAGATTTCTGTCTCCTGGGCTTACTGCTGCATTCCCAGCACCAAGCCTCTTACAGGTTGTCAGCACACCTTAGGTGAATGAATGAATGGAATGGAGAGAGAGAGAGACATCCAAAGTATCAGGTGAGCACAGAGGAGGCAAAACTTTGGGGTGCAGACTATGAGGTAAGACTTCCTGGATGAGACTATGCCTGAGCTGAGTCTTAAAAGATAATGAGGAGTGGACAGGACAAGGGATGGCTCAGGGGTAGGAAGTGGAAGGGACTGGACCCTTCAGGGCTTAGCACAGTGCTGGCGAAGAAATAGGTATTCAATAAGTATCTATTAAATGGATAAATGGGTGGAGGAGAGGGGAAGCTCTTCTAGGCAGGGAGGGCAGCATGAGCCAAGCAACGGGTGTGGGGACAGCAGAAGCAGTTTCACCGCTGGGGCAGAGAAAAGTGCCAGATGAGGCTGAGAGAGGTGAGTTGAGCCAGAGCATGGTGGGCAGGTCTTGTAGTCCATGAGAAAGCATTTGGGCTTGATCCTGAGGCAGCAAGGAGCCACTGAAGGGGTTAGAACAGGGGGAGGAAGGGGCTAACTTGCTTGAGATTAGCATGAATCATCCCGAAGAGGATAGATTTAGTGCCAGAGCTGGTGTTTCCCATGGCTCTAGTTTGCAGAGAGTAGAGCAGGGAGAAGAGCTGGGCTACCTCACATTGAAAAGCAAACCTAGAGAGCACCAGAGTTTGAAGGCGGGAAGAGAACCATCCTGAAGGGGCAGTTCTAGGACTCACCTTCTAGCATGCTGAGATTGGCGTTCAGGGCTTCCACCTCACTCATGATAATGGGACAGAGCTGGCCATAAAAAGAATTTTAAAAAATTGCAGGTTATCACATTGCACTTGAAACCTCTACTTAGGGGCCTAGACCTGCAAACAAAGGCCTTCTGGTTAGGAGCCATTCTCCCTTTGGTCACCAGGACTTTCCCTGAAATTTGTCAATGCCTATGGGCCCCATGTTCTGTACGTATGGGTGGTGTGTCATTGAATGCTGGCTAAACTTCAGAGCAACCGGGACTACACCCAGTTAGCCCCATGAAAGAAGGAGCCCTCGGCTTCTCTTTCTGTGGTGTGACAGGACACGTGCCCGGTGCATCTGGTGCGGTCACCCCTGAGGACCTGTTGCTGGACCCTTGCCGGCTGGGGACGCCACCGCCTCCCGCCTCCTCTGTGGCGGCACCATGCTCTGCTGGGAAGGTGCAAGCCGGGCCTTCGCTCTCCCCCTCGGCTGGCTTGAGAGCCCAGTAGTCAGACATCTGTTTAGATCAGAACCCCTTTTGGAGTTAGAAAAGCAATTTTGATTGGACTCGAGCTTGTCTGTAGGAAGGAGGAGGCGTGCCCACATGGGTGGGCTGCCATGTGCCAGGCGTGTGCTAAGCACTCGGCATGGTGGTTACTAGCAGAGGCTTGGGAGCCTGGCCGCCTCGGGTTGACTTGGCACGTGATTTGTACTCTGTTCTCAGTTTCCTCATTTGCAACATGAGGAGGATAACGGTACCCACTTCATTATGTTGTTGTGAGTAGAAATAGAAGTAATCCATGTAAAATTGCCCGCGCGTAGCAAGCATTCAGTAAACGTCAGCTGTCTATTTTAACCCCATTTTGGTCTCACGACGGCGCTGAGAGGTGGGCACCACTGTCCCCCCTTCACAGATGGGAAAACTGAAGCTTAGAGAGCTTTGCCAGGAGTTATATAACCAGGACTTAGAATAGATAGTTGTGGTCTGAGCACTCTTTTCTGTTTTCCCACGGCACAGAGGGAGTACTAGAAGCAAAGCGTCCATGGTCTCTAAGTCCTATACACAATCCCAGCAAACTTAGCTAGTGGCTTCCTGTCAGAGCCCAGAGAACCACGCCTGGTTTCCAGCAGCGGAGCGATGGCGAGTGTGGGGTCCCTGAGCCGACAGTGCTTTCCCTGTCACTCTCTGACACGCAGGTGCACCAGCCCTCAGCACCTGCCAGGTGAGGATGGAGAAAGTCCGTGCAACCTTGGAGTCCCCCGACCAGCCGGCCACCTCCTCGGACAAGCTGCTGAGTGTGTTTGCGTGTTGATTTCCTCACTGACGCTGACGTTCATCAAGCACTGCCTGCCAAGCATGAGGGGGATGGAGGCTTCCAGATACTGTTCTTGCCCTTTCATTTCCACTCCTCATCCTTTTCCTTGTCTCCCCCCAGATATGGGTAAGGCGTCCAGCGATGGTCTGGCCTGGACTGGAAAGAGGGCGCACAGCCAAATCCATCTCTCCCCTTCCTCAAACACTGATTTCTGGAATCGAGACACTTGTAACTTTGGAAGCTATCTTAACTTATACTGTTTCTGGAAACATCCTTTCTTCTCCCCCATTTCTTACCTATCAAAGTCGTACTTATACTTCAAGGCCCAGTTCAAGTCCTACATCCTCTAAAAAATATCCCTTTTGGGTTATTTTAGGCTGTTTTGATTGAATCTTTCCATTTCTCTGAACCCCTTCGGTTCAGTCTAATGATCATGTAGTTATGCATTAAATTCAAATACTCATTCAGTTATTGTTACACAAGCCTAAGTTGGGTTTTCCTAAAAAGATAATAAGTTTATTCCTATTTTATATCCCCAACAGCCTGTAGCCTAGGGCTGGGCATGCAGTAGGTATGCAATAAACTCTTGTTGGTTGTTTGCCCATCCTGTGCTGAGCACTTGAGGTAGGGAATGCTGTTTCATTCATCTCTGCATCCCCAGCACTTAGCAGAATGTTTGGCACATGGCAGGCACTTGCAAAACTTAGTAAGTTGCAAAGGATAATGTGTGTGAAAGTGCCTTGGATGATGCCTAGCATACAACAGGTGCTCAATAAATGTTTATTGACTAAGAACTAGGTAAAGCATGGCAGAACCGCTGAGCATTTTACTGTGGTTGCATCACTTCTAAAGACTTACCATTTCATTTAAGTTCTTTAAAATAGGTTTCTCCATGGGCTCAGCAAAGGAGTTGTACAGGACACTGGGGAAAAAAAGAGAAAGAAACGGGCTTATTCAGGAACTGTATCTGCCAGTCGTGAACCTCCTCGGGCCCTGCCGGAGAATCTAGCCCCAGACCAGCAACTGCCCAGCATGGCGCTACCACTCACCTGAGTTCTCCCGAAAATGACACATGGGCATGGCTCACTTGGGCGTAGCAGTCTTGGAGCTTCAGGATCGGGTGACCAAAGTCATTGAGGGCCAGGACAATGATACCGGTGAAGTAGACCCCAGAGAGAAACAGATCAGCTCCTCCTGTGTCTTGACTGTTGAGAGGAAAAAGTGCAAGGTTACCCAGGCCTGGGCAGGGGTGAGATGGATCATTTCTCTGACTCTCCACAGCCTATAAGCTCCTGGAGGGCAAGAACTCTGTCACTTCTGGATTCCTGGCACCAACAAGAGGTAGGAGCAGAGTACATGCTGAGTGTTTACCAAACAAATGAAGCAATGAGTATGTGGCTAGGTGACAGCTTTAGCTTAGCTTTTTTATCCTGAGTGCTCTGGCCCCCATAGTGGCCGAGCATGTATTAAGCACCATTCATATGCGATGCTCACGTGGAGAGAGAACATGGGGTAGCCTTATTTAGGATGGGCACAGATGGGGACGAGACACTTAGATGCAGTCTGTGAACTCTTTGAGGGACTGGAGTGTCTGTTGTTTGTCTCCACACCCCCAGGATGAGCACATAGTGTAAGCACTTAATATGTGGCTGATGAGTCAGCAAAGAAATGAATGAATACCTGAATCTGTGTTATTTATGGGAGAATATATAATTTCTCTACAGTGTACAGGTCTGGAGCTCTTGAGATGGGGATAAATGGTACTTGGTTGGCACTCAGTAAATGGTTGTTGAATGACCAAGTGGATGAGTGGATGTGCTTTCTGGGGAACCAACTGAGGCAGACCTAAACATTACACCCAGGACAGTGACTTGCACGTAGTAGGTGGTCTGTAAGTGTGACTTGAATTTGATCCCTCGTTTCTCTAGGAGGGTGCAAAAGCCTTCTGGTAGGGAGAGAATTGGGCTCCAGCTGACTATTATCCTCTAATCTCCTTGTGAGGTAGGAAGGCCCATTTCCTATCAGTTGCCCCTGAGGATGGGGAAGCGTGTGGAATGGCCCAAGATCATACAGTGACTCATTGAAGGTCTAAAATGTTGAGCACGAGTCCGTTCCTCCAACAGTCAGGGACTTCCAGCTCTTAGGAAATCTTAAATGACATTTTGCTCTGCCTTTAAGGGAAGGATGCTTTTCAGCCCTCCTCCTCCCCTGCCCAGCCCCCAGCAGAGATATCCTGATTTAAATCTCTCCTGGAAAAAAGTACTCTCGAGAAAGACTGTTAGTGGCTGAGGGAAAGAAGCCTAATGTCAAAAACATCAGCAAATTTTTGGACTTTCAATTTTGGTTCCATTTCTCCCCAGAAGAGCCGCAGACAGCATTGAGTGGAATACTCACAAGAGTGGAGACTTGACTTCCCAGTTGGTGCTGATGTTGGCAGTGCCGTGGTTGGTCAGGGCCTTGATTCCCACCCCAGGCACAAAGGCTAATGAAGTATTTGGAAATGAAAAGACATTGATTTTTATGCTGTAAAACAAGAAACAGAGAGGTTAGCGCATGTCTTCTAGCACATCTCTAAGTAAGGCAAAATCAGAAAGGAGGTTTGTGGAACTCCCGAAGGCAACTGTGAATTCCTGTGGAGGAAGGAACCTCGGGTCTGAGGTGCTGCCTCTGGGCACTGCCTTTTTTTTTGAACTCACGACCCTGAGATCAAGACCTGAGCTGAGATCAAGAGTCGGACACTTAACTGACTGAGCCACCCAGGCGCCTCTGGGCATTGCCTTCTAATGCCCCTTCAACCCTTACCAAGAAGCCCCTGGTGTCTGATTGAGGAGGAAATGAGCAAGTATAGAAACAGATTCGAAAATAATCAATTTTTCTAGTTTCATTAAAGACAGTATGAGGTACAACACTGCCATCGTGATTTTTCCCTTCAGCTGTTCCAGTGCTTCTCAATGGGGGCAGATATTAGTATTTTGGGTACGACAACTGTTTTGTGTACAGGGCTGCTATACACATCGCGGGGTACCTGGTGTGTGTGCCAACTAAATGCCAGCAGTGCCCCTCCCCCATCATTGGGACAGTCGCAAGGGTACCTTCCTTCTATTCTCAGATGCCCTCTATGTGGACAGTATCTTCCCTAGTTTAGAAACTTATTGATTTCCCCTAGGATTATCTGAGCTGTCAACGGGTAGATAGGAAGCAATGGGCTGCATGTAATCCTTATAGGTAGATGGCTCATGTATTGAGTGATTACTCCCTATCAGGCACTGGGGTAAGCACTTTACATGCATTGGATCATTTTAATCCTCACAATAATCCCATGAGGTTGTTGCTGGTTTTGCAATCTGCAATTCATAGATGAGAAGATAAGGAACGTGGCTGAAGTCATATATAAGTGGTAGAACCAGACCTGGAGCCCTCCTCAATCTGTCTTCAGACTGTGTTCTTAGCCAGTAGGCTATGCCCTTCATGTACTGTGCAAGGGGCACTTGACTTGGAGCTGAGTTTTGTGCTAGCCGTGCAACCTTGGGTATGATACTTAACCTCTTTCAGTCACTCAAAGGAAGGGTTACTCATGGGCAGGTTGGGGAGACAAAATGAGATCACCTGCGTATAACTGTGGCATGGGAGAAAGGCATTGTTATGAGCTAAGATTAGGAAAAACGTAAAACATAAACGTGATAGCTGATAACAAATGCTTATTTACTATTTCTTCTATTTTGCATCCTTTCCTACGTGTCTTTGTCATACACCCTGAGTCCCACTGTGGGAAGGAGATGGTAGAGGTTCATTTAACAGATCTTGGAAATATTTTCGGTTTGATACATATAGGTCTAATGCATTCCTTGTATTCAAGCTATGCATGCATCATTAAAGAAAATCATTTCTTTGTTGCTGGACATCTAGGTTGTTTCCAGTTATTTCTGTATTATAAACAATGCCACACTGAACATCCTCATATATGCTGTTTATGTGTATGTCTTTCTAGTGAGGATGCTGAGAAGTGGGATTGGTAGGTCAAAGAGCATGCATTAAAAAAACAAAGTCCTTGTAAATAACTTTCTGAAATGAAACCGTCCAATAGAAATAGAACGTGAGCCACATACATAATTTAAAAATTTCTAGTGACCACATTTATAAAAGGGAAAGGAAACAGGTGAGAGTGATTTTATTAATATTTTTTACTCAACCTGATACATCTAAAATAGTATCATTTCAACATATAATCAATATAAAAATTATTGATGGGATATTTTGTTTTCTCTTTTTCAAAATAAGTCTTCAAAATATGGTCTTTTTTTTTTTACATTCATAATATGACTCAGTCTGGACACTGAATTTCATCAGAAATACTTGTCCTATATTTAGATCGGATAAATTTTTCAACTGAAAAAGTACACTTCCATACTCAAATTGTTCCACACATACTTAAAAGCTTTTCTTTTCTTTTTTTTTTTTTTAAGATTTTATTTATTTATTTGACACAGAGAGCACAAGCAGGGGGAGCTGCAGGCAGAGGGAGAGGGAGAAGCAGGCTCCCAGCTGAGCAGAGAGCCCGACGTGGGGATCAATCCCAGGACCTGCAATCATGACCTGAGCCAAAGGCAGACGCCCAACTGACTGAGCCACCCAGGTGCCCCAAAAGCTTTTCAAAAACTGAATTGAGTATCAGTTTTTAAATTAAAATTAATTAAAAATTAAATAAGTAAACCTTCAGTGCCTTAGTTGTACTAGTCCCGTTTCCAGGGCTCGGTAGCCACATGTGACAGGTGGCTCCTGTGTGGGCAGCTCAGGTCAAAAAGTACTGTACCAGTTTCTCTACTCCCACTAGCAATCTTCACCTACACTTCATAATATATGTTTAACCCCGGATTTTTCTGCTGGAACATTATTGTCATTGTAATTAAATAATTCATTTTGTAAATATATAATGTCCATCTCTCTTATTGGACTTTAAGGGCAGGGGAATATATCTGTGTCATTCACTACGATATCCCCCATGCCTGGAACAAAGCCTTGGTACCTAGTAGGTACTCAATAAATACTTGTTGAATGGCTGTCTTTATTAACAACTAGAGCATTTGCTAGGAGCTTTTCCTAGATCACCATTCTTCTACCGACCCCCCAAACCCCCCCAAAACTCATGGTTTTATAGAATGGTATCCTTGATAGCAGGGAAATTATTGCTCCAAAGGGTTAGAGCAACAGGGAATTATCACTGGATTGATAAAGCCTTGGGGTTAAATTGTGAATCACAGATAATTCCTTATAAAATCTTGACTCTCTGCTTTACCTTCAAGATTTAGTGCAAGATGGACAAAGGTGTCCTTTCCCTATACCGCCTTTGGGGCTTTTGTTGGCAAATATGACAGGTTGCTGCTGTCTGAACATCCATTTCCCTTTCTTCTTTCCCAAACATCCCTGAATTGGCTCAGGATGACAAAGATGTCTGCTTGGAAAATGAATTTTCCAGTCTCCCTTGCTAATAATAGTAAGTATGGTCATAAGAGAGATCTGTCCATTATCGAGTACTAATAGAGCAGGGCTCCAGAAAAAAAAAATTCACTGAAGAGACTAACCCAGCTTTTAAGAGCCCTCTTAACTCCTTCTTGGACCTGAAATATGGATTTGATGGCTGAGCTGCCGTGGCCAAACTGGACCATGAGACAACCTTGAGGACAGAAGCCAGAACTGAGGACGGCAGGGCAGAGAGATACAAAAAGGCTGGGTTCAGATAAAATTGTGGGGCTTCCATAGGATCCCTCTACTCTTTCTTATTCTTTTCTTTTCTTTTTTTTCTTTTTTTGTGGGGCTTGAACTCATGACCCTGAGATCAAGACCTGAGCGGAGATCAAGAGTCAGACGCTTAACTGACTGAGCCACCCAGGCGCCCCTCTACTCTTTCTTTTGAGCTTCTTAATTGTGGCCCATTTCTATGACTTTTAAAATCTCAACTAAACTTCATTAAAATAAAGAAAGACTTGATGAGGGTAGATTTCTTTCTGAGACTGTGACTGAATCCTGCATCTAGGTTAGGGTGTGGGGGCAACAACGGGATGGACAAAAATTTCTCTTAGAATTCAAGGGGCAAGGTATTCTCATTTTAGGGAAGAGGCAAGGACATCGAGACTCTGAACAGATTCCCCAGGTGCATACAACTAGTGTGTAGCAGGGATAGGACTTGGACCCAGGTGTTCTGACCCCAATCCTACACTCTTTGTCAGCTTTATGACCCCTGTTTCTTGAGGTCATTCATCTGATAAGCCCCTTACCAAAGATTAACTCTGTGTTAACTTCTACTCTGCAGGTCCCTGGTGTTACACCAGAACACAGGGTGACATATCCACAACCCTAAGGTTTTAAAGAGTAATTTCACTGCTAAAAATACTCTTTTACTTACTTTGAAAAATTGTAGTTCACATAATCAACCTTCAGAAATTCCAGAGATTCAGAACCTTTTAGGTCTGGGATATTTTTTTCCATAACCATTTGCTCAATCATCTCCACCCCGGCTAGAACGCCTATGAAGGAACCAAAGAGAGCGTTTATTGATAATGACGAAGATGATAATGGCATCATTAGACATACACGTGAAGTTCACTGAGCAAGGCGTGCTCTTAGAAACTTAGAAAGCAGCAACCCTACAAAGTGGTGCTGTTTTCCCTGTTTCACGGAAGAAAACACTGGTCCTCAGAGAGGCTAATGAAGACCCCAGGACCCCAGGACTAACAGCACGAGAGATTCTCATTATGTGGCCAAGGCTAAAGGATACTACTACAGGACGTTGTGATAGGAGAAGTACAAAATATTATCATTATCCACATTTTACAGATGAACAAACTGAACCTCAAAGAGATGGATTCTTACCTAAGTCACACGGCAAGGAACTGGGGGCCCCATAGTCAAATCTGGGCAATTTGGCTCCAGAATCCATGCCTTATTAGAAAGTTATTCCACATTCTCCCCTTTCCCCTAGATTCTTTAGTTAGTTTTTTTTTTTTTTTTAAGATTTTATCTATTTATAAGAGAGAGAGAGAGAGCGCGAGCACATGAGTAGGGGGAGGGACAGAGGGAGAAGCATACTCCCCACTGAACAGGGAGCCCGACGTGAGGCTCGATTCCAGGACCCCAAGATTACGCCTGAGCCAAAGGCAGACCCCAACAGATTGAGCCACCCAGGCGCCCCTCCCCTAAATTCTTTAAGCTCAGCAATTTTTGGCCTGAGGTGCATGGACTGTTGGGCACTCTTAACCCTCCTGAAATCCTAGTAAAAGATTGTGAGTAGGATGTGTGTGCGTGTGCATTTGGGTCTCATTGTTCAGGGGAGAGGGGCCACATTTGCATCAGATTCTCAAAGAAACCCAGGACTCCAAAAAGATTAGTAAGCTCCGCTTTTGTGCAATTCAGGAATAAATCTGTCTTTATGTGGTAACACCACAGGACACATTTTTCAGAGTTCACGGAGAAAAAGAGCCCTCCTTCTCATAAAGAGCTTGAGAAAAGTAACTGACATAGTAATGAAGAATGATCTTTTCATTTTAACCTTCTTAAGGAGGAAGCTTTGCCTTTACTCCCTATTTTGCAGCTTAAGCTCACTTCCACTTAGGCTATCCCTGTGGAGATTCAGAGCAGATCTTATCCTCTATAATACCATGAATAATATTATAATACAGGGATGCAGGGATAGGATGTAAAGGATATAAAGATGGAACAAAAGGCACTATCAGACAGCTTAGTTTCGAATCCCAACACTGTCATGAGATAATGATAATTGTGTGTCTGTGTGGGCCAGGACTGTCTACACTTTACACGTATTCTAACCTTTTATCCTCAGAGCAACCCAGTGACATATATATTATTATTCCTATTTCACACAGGAGGCAGTTGAGGCTCAGAGAGATTCCCAGACTTGCCCGAGAGCTCACAGCTACTGCGTGTCATCAGCGAGGCTTTGGAGGAACGGGGAGCAGAGAACAGAAATCAGGCAGAGCAGACCTGAACTCCGATCTTGCCTCGCCCCCTTACTGGTGTGTGATGTGGCAAATTCAGTCCAGCCCCTCTGAGACTCAGGTTCCTCCTCTGTAAAATGACTATCCCTTCTTTGTAGGGTTGTTGTGGGAATTAAATCAACCCAGAGCCCATAGGCACATATCAAAGAGCGTGGCCATGGTAGATGCTCAGTCAAGGCATGGTTCTGACTTTATAGTGTGTCCACCCCATGCCATATCTCTACAGATGATTCCATCTGGTCCTCACATCACGACAGGCGGGGCACATTATTGTCATTCTCCTCACCCCGTTTTCCAGATGAGAAAACCCACTGGCCCAACCCTACATATTGAGGAAAGGGGCAGAACTGAGATTCATACCCATGTGAACTGACTAGATCTGTTCTTTAAATTGCTCTGATCTTGAGGGTGGAATAAGCTATTCTCACAACTTTAATACTGTTACAAGATGTCTATTTCTGATATGTATTTCTGTGCATATAAGCGTATCAATATAGTAACAAGATACACACACATGCAAATATACATGTGGATACACATGTGCATTCCTGGTATGTATTTCTCATTATAGCCAGCTCATATGACAATTGTGCAAGATGGATCAACTTTAGATTCCCTGTACCACAAGAGGAACTGGGGGAAGGACAAAGAGTTGCCCAAAACTCAGTCTTCCCTTCCTCCATCCCTCCCTTTTCCTCCATCCTTCCTGTTTTTCTTTTTTGGTGTAGCAGGTGAGGCGTTTCCTGGTCACACTTAGGTATTTATGAGTTAGACTAGCAGTACTTGAGTTGATTGCTTTAGTTAAGAAGGGATTGGAGTGAATCTATCTGCCTGTATTCTGTAATCTTGGGCCAAGATTTACAGGAGAGAACTAGGCCCACACACTTTGATTTTGCAGTATCTTTCCCATATGCAATCTGCCCTCACCCCAGCTCTGCTCCACATTTTTCTCTCCCTGTGTTTATAAACACCTCTAAAGGAGTTTTTCTTAATCTTTCAATGTCTCAGGCTCCTTTTTGCATCTAATGGATGTATGGAGCCTCTCAAGAAAAACGCACAATCATCATCTACATTAAATTTGGCACACAATTTTAGGGGACTCTAAGTTCCTTTTGGAGTTAAGCCCTTTCTGAAGTTCTAAGGTGTTACTTTTACTCTCACATCTCCTCCCCTCTAGCCTATGACGTATCCTCCTTTAGAGCAGAGGTGTTTGTTGTAGGTGCATGAGGGGGGACAGGTGGCAGGGGTCAGGGAGAGAATGAATATCTGTGGCCGCGTTTGGACAGGCCTACCATCAACGTGATTATTTTTTAGAAACACTTCCTTCCCAGCCATCTTAGCAGCCTCCACATAAGGGGCTGGATCATCCCACAGGAGAGCTTGCCTCAGTCATGGGACAGTCCAATATGAGCTTGGGTCATAAACTCCACCTGTAGCCTGGCTTCTGGAAGCATTCCACTCACCATAGTCCAGAGCCCGCTGAGTAACCCTGGCCTTGATTCCAGGGTAAACGGTCTGGGCAGATGAGATGTAGAGATCCCACAGGAAGAAACATCCCCAGAGGACTTGGACTGCCTTTGTACGCATCTGCAATTAACCAACATTTATGGTTCCTTTATTATTTTTGACTTTTCTTTGATCAATTCCATCCAGCTTTTCTATGATTTCTTGTTTCATTGCTCACTTTCAGAACTCACTCTATCCACCCGTCTGTTCATATATCCATCCATCCATCCAACCATCAATCCACCCACCTACCCAGTAATCATTTATTGAACACACCAGAAATGTGCTAGGTGCTGAGGATGCAGAGATGACCTGTGTGTCCTTGACTTCTGCTTCTCACAGACCAGCAGGTGAGTCAGACACGCACACAGATGATTATGACTCATTACAATACGATGCAGTGCAATGTAACACAAGCGCCTTATCATAAATATAACACTTGTGATATGCCTTGGGAAGGGTAAGGGGGTGGGGATGCCAAATTTTTGAAAGTTTTAGAACACAAGTCAGTAGTTTAGAAAGGTGGCTTCAGCGAATGTGAGACAATCACTCATCTGCTTAGAAACACTTAATGACTCCCCTTTGCCCGTAGGACAGGGTTTAAGCTCACAGCCCAGCTGTAAGACCCTGCCCTGCTCTACACTTCTACCACCTCGAAGACTTCCTTCCTTAACACACATGCCAGGCTCACCCCAGAATCTAGTATAATGCCTGGCACACAGTAGATACACACATACAAAATCTGAAATAAATATCTCCAAGGAGAGGGACCACATCTTTTTTGCTGTTTATATTGCTAGTGCTTGGCATATATTAAATATTCAGTGTATGCTTGTGTAATTAATGGACTCAACGAATTAATGCCAGCCCATTTTCTTTTCTTTTCCTCCCTCCCTCTTTCTTCTTTCTTTTTTAAAAATATTTTATTTTTTATTTTTAAAAATTTTATTTATTTATTTGGCAGAGAGAGACACAGCGAGAGAGGGAACACAAGCAGGGGGAGTGGGAGAGGGAGAAACAGGCTTCCCATGGAGCAGGGAGCCTGATGTGGGGCTCGATCCCAGAACCCTGGGACCATGACCTGAGCCGAAGGCAGACGCTTGACGACTGAGCCACCCAGGCGCCTCTCTTTCTCTCTCTCTCTCTCTCTTTCTTAGTAGGCTCCACACCCAATATGGAGCCCAGTGTGGGGCTTGAACTCACGACCCTGAGATTGAGACCTGAGCTGAGATCAAAAGTTTGATACTTAACTGACTGAGCCACCCAGGTGCCCCCCAGCACACTTTCTTGATGAATGAAGCACAGGTTACCAATAGCAACAGTGACATGGCTTTCTTTTTTTTTTTTTATTAAAGATTTTTATTTATTTATTTGACAGAGAGACACAGCGAGAGAGGGAACACAAGCAGGGGGAGTGGGAGAGGGAGAAGCAGGCCTCCCGCCAGGCAGGGCGCCCGATGCGGGACTCGATCCCAGGACCCTGGGATCATGACCTGAGCTGAAGGCAGTCGCTCAACCAACTGAGCCACCCAGGCGCCCGACATGGCTTTCTTTTAATGACAGCTGAGCGAGTAATACATTCACAGGCCTTGTTTCTAGTTCTGGCAGTTTACAATCTGGGTGAGCTACCCTTGTGTTCATATGTGCCAAAGACCCACAGGTGACAGATACCCACTGAGTTAACATACAAACATGAAACAAATCAGGGAAGCATTTGTGGGGGTGGTCAAGGAAGAGGAAGTTGTGGGAGCCATGCAAAGGGTGGGGTCAGGCCAGGTAGGGCAGGGAAGGATTCAGAGAAGGGCTGGGATTCAGGCACAGTCTGGATGAAGGAAAAGATCATTGCAAGAGGTGTGTATGCGGTGCTTGGCCAAGAAAAGAAAGAGGTTTGATAAAGGGGATTGTGTGGGCTTTGTGGATAAGGCCATAGATGTAGACAACAGTGTGTTCCAGAGAATTTACTTGAGAGGAAGAGAACAGTCTGACCAGGGAGAGGAGTATCCATGCAGGGCTGTTGCTAGCCTATCTTGGCCTTTTGTATGGAATGGGAGAAGGTGCCCTTTGGAGATACACCCCTTCTGGCACAAAGTGGGGCAAGCAGAAAATGTTTTAGGAAAATCCCATACCAGTGTGTCCAACTTGGTAGGTAGAGCCAGGGCTGTCCCACTCACCCCTTGGGCTAGCACTTTTTTATTTTTAGATTTTACTTATTTATTTATTTTAGCAAGAGAGAGCGAGCGAGCATGGAGCCTGACACGGGGCTCGATCCTATGACCCCGAGATCATGGTCTGAGCCAAAACCAAGACTAGGATGCTTAACCAACTGAGCCACCCAGGCGCCCCATGGGCTGGCATTTTGTCTGGTGTACACGTTGCCCAATTTATAAGGGGGCCTATGTTCAGATTAGTGAATGTTCATGTGGGTATTTTGCTGGAAGGCCATGAGGTTGAGAATTGGGGTCTTGACCTGTCTGTTCTGTGGTGCATATGTCCACCTTCAGGTGTGAGAAGCGGCTGGCTCAGTCAACTTGCTTATATTTCTCATCTGATCTCCCAGGAGCCCTCTGTCCAGACAAACTGGACTCCTGGTCCCTAAACACTCACCATGTTTCCTGCCTAATATCTGTGCTTTTGCTGTTCATCTTCACCTAGGCCTGCAGAAACCCTGAACATCCTTAAGCTTCATTTTAAATACAGCCTTCTTTCTGAAGCCATTTCTGACTTCCCTAAGTTAATCTCATTTCCTTCTGAATCCTTGGTCAAAATAGATATTTATTCATGTGTGTATATTTATTTTCTCACGTGCCATCTCCTCTGTGAGAATGTAAGTGCCATGAAGGCAGAGTCTTCATTTGGTTTGGAGGTCCTTGGGCCTGGCTTAGTGTCTTGGACATAGAGTGATTGATAAGTATTGGTAGAATGAATTGTAAATGAAGGAAGAACCCTTACCTCACTCTGCATTATATTACAGTTCTTTGCAGAGGTGATTAACAAAGCATTTGTACACTGGTGGAGTGCATGCACCCACTAGAACAGATGTTGTCCACAGTCCAGGAACAGGGTTGGGGAGGTTAGGTACTGGATCATGGGGACAGGAGAAGTCTTGGGAGGACTGGCCAGTGTGGCTGGGGTACTGGGGGTGGGGTGGGAGACTCAGAGTAGTGATTATTTACTATTAGAAATGGAGACATTTTAATATCTTAACACTGCTATGGTCTTAACCTTCAGTATGATGTTTCAGCCCTACAGAGTTGGTTTGGGTTATACTGGACAATGTACAAAAGAACCTGGGCAGCAGTGCTGGGGGCAGGGCTATGGAGGGGTGGCTTGGGAATGGTTGGGTGCAGAGGACACCAAGGGAAGCGTAGAGCAATGACAATAAGAGCCAAGGGGGCAGGACTTGGGTAGGAGACCCGTCTCTGGTCAGGCAGCAAGTGATCTCAGGGTTGGAGGAAATGTGAGGAGTGGGACAAGCAGCGAGGGGCAGGGTGATATTAATATCTTATACTCAGTTAGAATGGATGCAGAAGCAAGGCCCAGTTGCCATCTGTGCTAGGCCCTCCTTGATCCTTGTTGTCCTGGGTTGGGGGTGGTGGTCAAGGGTTCCTGGAGAGGGGGATAGGAAGAGATGGATGAAACTATGGGAGTCAGGGCAACACTCCTGGGGCTGAGATTAGTTGCTATTCACCAACTGGTATAAAAGTACGTCCACATTTTAACAAATGGTGAGGCCATACTGATGTGCAGTCACACTGAATTGCTGTGGGAAAAGAATTGTAAATGAATGTCTCATGCCAAAGCAGGCATGAGAAGGATTTTTTTAAAAAGAGGAAAACATTTTCATAACAGTGCAATGCAATGGGAAAAAATATTAGATCAAAAAGTCTATACACATTAGACTGTATCCAAATTAAGGTTGAAATGATCTCTCTGCCTGGCATGTAGTTAGGACCTCAAGAAGTATTTGCTACCTGACCAACTGACTGGCTTATGGCACCTGGGTGGCTCAGTTGGTTAAGCGACTGCCTTCGGCTCAGGTCATGATCCTGGAGTCCCTGGATCGAGTCCCGCATTGGGCTTCCTGCTCAGCGGGGAGTCTGCTTCTCCTTCTGGCCCTCCCCCCTCTCATGTGCTCTCTCTCATTGTCTCTCTCTCAAATAAATAAATAAAATCTTTAAAAAAAAAAGATTCTGGTTAACTAAGAAATGTTCTAGAAAAGTGTGAAAAAAAAAAGGGGAAAACTAAACCATCATATAAATAACTCTCTGTTTCTACAGTGAAAAAGCATAATAAGCCAAATCAGA